GAATGCAACGGAAAATGGTATATCGTCGAGAAGCTAACACACAATTTCCATTCTCTTTGCAGAATATGTAGCAACTCGAGTATCCGGAAGCAACTCATAATAGTCGTGATATGATGTGGTTCACCACTCACCGAAAGAGTAGATACCAATAAAAATAGGCACAAACAATTCATGGAAATGAAGTCGTGAACAAAAACTTGAGACCTTGGTTCTATTTTCACCCAACAATTGGGTGAAATTTGAGTGGACAAGCCGTGGAAAAAGTAGTAGCGTGAATGCCTTTTGTGAAGCTATGAAATTAGGTTGTGAGGCAAAGGATTATCAGTTCTTATGGAGGTTCCGTAAGAGTAGAAATAGCCAGAGCAGACTATAGAAGTTCTCTAAATATATATACACATGTAAATAAACTTGTGGAGGTAGCCTACTGTCTATCTCTGAAAAAACTATATGATCTACATGGTTTTCTTATGTATAAGAAATGGAATTAATGTATGTAAATATTAGCAAGTATAAAATTCTTGTTTTCTCCGTAAAATAGTGATAGATGTTCTAATATGTATATAGATTACAAATGCACACTGAATTCACGATCTAAACACTCACTAGAAGAGTGTCATGATGGTGTTGAAAGTTTTACCTCCATCATAATCCCAAATTTGAAGCTAGTCTTTCCATTTATCAACAGTATGACATTTCTCGGTTCTTGCTAGTCTATGTTTGAACTAACTATAATCGAAACACATAAATTTTAATAAATTTGGATGTGTTTAAACTAAACATAACCATCACATTTAACAAACTCCAAACTCTTGTTATTATAATTAACCAAACGTTCAATGTGCTAGTAAGACAAGGTACCTGAAGTAAGTCATCTCTTTCAACCAAAATCTACCAATTCATTGCACTACTCTAAAATAACAAATTAAGATTTTGACCTTGCCGCTATTGAACATAACATAACTAGCTCAACATAACCCACTAATCATGTCGTGTTCGTCCATTTTCCCCGGCTAACCGCCACGTTCACATTCACAAAAATCAAGAGCTCTTCTTCGTTATTTAGCCGCTAATATTACTGGAGTTGAGCGATTGCCAGAGATGTGACGACGACGGAAGCACAAAGAGACTGTCGGAGCTGAGCATTTGCCGAAAATTGTAGTTCTGCAAGAATTTCATATAATGAAAACAAAACTTAACTCTCTGCATTAGCCGTTATGCAAACGATGTTAATTATAATTATGAATAAACTAGGGAACAGAAAAATATAAAAATATTCATCATATATAAACTACGGGAAATCACCACTCCTACGTGATCTGCTAAGGTAAGACAAATAAACTTTCCCCTACTTTTAGAACCCTTCTCACCTGGTAATGCACAAATGGGTGATGCTAGAGAACAATCATGCATTACTGGAAATAAATTTTGGAATATTTTGTAAGAGAGATCGAGACGTGAAAGATATAGTAGTGGTGACCGGTGATTAAAAATTTCAGCTTAAACCTTCAACAAAATTCCAACCAAAATTCTGAAATTTCCATGCCCAGCAATGCTTAACATTCTATACATATAATTGGTGACTAAAATTTCAGCTCAAATTAAACAACTAAATTCCAATCAAAAATTCATATCGTACCCGATTTCGGAGATGGAGAAGATGGACTGGAGGAGCAATCACGTTCAATGCGGATTCGTCGATGAAACAAGCAACGTGAAAATCAGTCGGAATCCCGCTTCGTTTTTACCGCCCTAATTTCAAAACTTTCGCCTCTCTTCTACTCCGGTTTCAATTTCTAAGTGGGTAGTAAATGGGGTTTGAATTTCTGAATGGGTCAGTAAATGGTTTAAGATTTCTGCCAACATCTTAGCTGTCCAATGCCTTTTAATCTGAGCCGTACACGTCACTTTGTAAGTCTCCTTTGTCAAGCTACTTTGAACAAGTAGCATTATTGGAAAAAAAATTCTCTTTGTCATTAGAAGAAAGAAGAAATGGGTTGTTTTAGGGCAGTGGAAAGCGTGTTTCGGTATTGCCAAAAAGAGCTATGCTACAATGACAAAGGAGGTTTGCAAAGTTAAGTTACAAAATCAAATCTACACCAGTCATTTGAAAAATAGATTTTTAAATCATTTGAAATCAATGATCCAAATTTTGCCAACACACTTTGGCACTCCACTTTTGTACACTAATTTTGTAGGAGTAGAACTATTCTGCCAAAAAATGGTAAAAAGCTGAAAAACGTTGTTGAATATTTGTAGGTAACGACCGTCCATAACAAGGAAGTTTTATAAAGAGAAGGGTATGAGTGTGTAGAGAGAATGGAAAAGGTAAAAGATTGAGACCCTTAAGTTTCAGTCTGAAAGTGTATTGCAATTTACCAATCAAGTTGGAGGATACAATTCCTTCACCATTAAACAAGGAGCAAAATGAAAATACATATGCACGTGTAATGATTTTTAAGCCATGTTTGGGGCAGCTTAAAAATCCGATAAAATTTTAAGTCATACTCAATGAGACTTTCAATTATTATCTATTTTTTTTAATTATGTGTCTTATCAACTTTTATCAAAATTTATTAAAAATCTGTACAATGAGAAAATGGAATTTATGATGAACTAGTCAAAAGAATCTGAAATAGAGTTGTCTAAATTTTGCACTCAGTATTGTCTCGACGCGATCTTCTCCCACATTCTACGAATCACTTCTCTCTGTGGATGTGTAATATCGTTTGCCACGAAAATGTTTACAGCATTCTCAAGCTCAACCCAACTACAAGCAGGTTCCTTCTTCACCCACTTTCGTTCATAATCTTCCTCACTTTTGCAGCGTCACTCCATTTACCAACAGAGGCATAGATGTTAGAGAGCAACACATGGGGACCTGAATCATAGGGGTCAAGTTCAAATACACGCTCTGCAACATAAGCACCCAACTCCATATTCTTGTGCATCCTATAAGCTCCAAGAAGCACTTTCCAAAAGGCTGCAGTGGGTTCACAGCAAATTCAAATTATCAAAAAAGAAGATGAGAAACTCATTAGTGGTAGAAGCCTGAAGGTCAAAAGAGAAGAAAATATTGCAAATGGACGGAGGCGGACGGACGACAATCAACGACTCCGCGTTTGGCAGACCCAGAAGGCAGAAGTGGCTGCCGAGAATTCTCCAATGAAAGTATAATACATTTGTGCCTCAATAGCCTTTGTGTTAGATTGTTAGGGTTGGGTATTTCATACTTGGGCTGAAATATAATTGCTAACGGGCGAGACATTTTGAGCCAAACAAATTAAGTAATTAACATAGAAAAAATCAAAAAATTATGGAAAGCCCAATTATTATTAATTTATCATTTTTTTCTAACGGTTAATTGATTCGATTAGGGGCTATGGCGTAAGGACCATGTTGTGTGTTACACAATGGTGTACATACGGCTTTACACCCCCCTCACATGGAGGGGGCCCACACGTAATAAAATATTCATGGGCCCCCTCCATGTGAGGGGGGTGTAAAGCCGTGTGTACACCACGAGGTGTACACACAGCATTTTCCATGGCGTAAATACCATACCCGCTCCGCCCCGAACTAGTTCATTAAAATCAAATGTCATATCCGCTCCATTGTACTGTCGGTTCGATTTTTTTGTCCCATTCGGTTCGATTAACCGCAATTTTCAATTTTGACAGTTCAAATTGCCGTCCCTACATTTTCTTCAGCCCTAAAGACTTTTAAATCCATATACCACACCCAAACATACCTGGGGTTCTACAACCAGCTTCGACTCTCCAATCACATGGCCTCATTGGTGGCAGAAATAGGTCTCGAGGTTTCGAGCCAATAACTTTCACATGGTACATTCGACTTTTCAATCATCGACGCATCCTTCACGGCGAGTTTCTAGCCAATAATTTGATTGGAAAAAATTAGAAACTCCCTTCTTTTGTACCAAAGAAACTTGAGACCGACTTGGTCTAACAAAGACGTCTGATTCCAATTTACAGGACGACTGCATTTCCCGACACGCTTCAAATCCATCACCAATTGATATTTTCTTGAATTGCAACAATTAATGTTAAAAACCAACTAATGCTGTGGATTTATATATAATGAACAGGCCTTTACTTGTAAAGATTAAATTGCATTAGTTAATTAACCGAAGATTGATTATGTGATTTATTCAAGAAATGCTATATATATGAGACAACTGATTCATATGAATTTCTAATTTATTTGGGTTTTCTAATAATTTTAATAAACTTCAATCAATTAATGCAATTAGTACTTTCCTTATAATGGTAGAAATTTACATACCCTAATAAAATAGTAGTTGAAACATAGCAAAAACTAAAAATAAAAAATATCTCCAATAATAGAGAGCATAATATATTTAGTCGTCGGATTTGCCAAGGAAAGAATGGTCGAGTTGGGTCTACTATTACTTAGCAAACGAGTTCTAATGATTCTTATAGTATTATTACGATAGATTTTTATAGTAAAATTGTGGAATATCAATTGTTAAAGAAAGAACAAATTGATAATATATAATTATCATCAAACGTAGAAATTAGCAAATCAAAGCCTGTGTACTATATTGACCTCGAAACATATTCGTTTCCTTATAGCAAGTGCTTGAGATTTTTGTTAAGCATCTATCTCTTAGAATACAATAAAAAAATCTGTAAAAACTGAGCATCGAGTTTCTATACCGATTGACTACTAATTAATTATCAATTATTTCAGTTTTTCCTTTAATTTGATTTTGTTCATGTATGTTACTTGCTGTATAGTGTGAATGTCAAACATCAAGATTACTTTACCAAAAGTTTAATATTTTGCTAGAGGAATATCAATTCTAACTATCCATGTATAATGTTGATCCACGTATCTACGTGCATGAGATGCCACTTAATTTAAATGTCGAGTCGGAGTTAGTGTGCAATATTGAAGATGACTAAAATGTTATTATATTGTTCAATCTTATTCAATATTTTGTAATGAGCATGTCTTAAAACTTTATACACTATCCTTATCTATCAACGTTAACAATGTGTAATGTAATACTGTTTTTATTTATCACATGAAAATCATCTTTGATTCTTTGTAATTGTCGTACACTATTTCCACTCTGTCCCTGTAATCATCACTTGTAAAGTTAACGCAATTATTATCATTCTCATAATTTTGATAAAACGGAGACAACAATTGATTATCCTTGCTATCACATGCATTAAATTTGATTGCATTGACATTGTATTCTTCATTGCCAGTTGCCACTGTATATTTTGCATATTGCATTGATCTGAAGAAGTCAAAAATGACAATTAGAAGAGTGAAATAACGGTCAAAAATTGATTTTTTTGGAGTGAAAATTTGCTGCCAAACGAAAGCAAAATCAAATTTTTTGCAACTAATTTATGAGATTTTTAACGTGCTAAACCTCTGACACAAATGAATTAAATTTGCAGGGCCGTAACAAACGAAACTGGATGTAGGTAGCGGGACACAATTATAAATGAATATCTCACGTGTCAAATAACTCAAGTTTTTAGATGAATCAATTCGACACTATCTTCGCATATTCATACATACAACGAAAATAATAGAAAATTACAACATTTCGTATCACAGGCTTGCATTATCTCAGAATGAGATCAGAATTCAATGATATATAGAGTACATCAACACTTCATAGAGTCATAATATGATATGAACTGTGTACCCTAATTGCAATTCAACACAAAAAGTGCACTTCCATGACTTACTAATTCCATAGACAATAAATCTTTTACAACTCCAAAGTCTTTCCCACTCCATTCTTCTCTGCATTTGCATGAAGCAGAATTTAATTTTCGACCAGGCAGTGCCTTGTCCAAATCTCTTATCTTTGCAGATACCAGGGTCTTCCCGGGATTCAAATTAAAAAAAGCAACATATACTTCTCCTGAATAAGAAAGAAAACAATTTAAATAAAAGATTAAAATAGAGCGTCAAAAAAATTAAATACATGTAAAAATCGCCGTGTCAAGAATCAACCTGTCATCCTTGTATATTAACATATAAAAGATAATCCCCTGAATTCCACTTCGTAGTTGGAGAAGAATAGTCCTTTAGTTTTGATGTTTGTTTAGAATTTATAGAGTATTAAGAGAGTCGCTGAATCAGATTTATGAACTTCAATCTCTATTTTCTTGATCCATTCTCATGATTAAAATCTACGACCCAAAAAAGTTTCGATTTGGAAAAATGTAAAAGGAATTTAAGTTCGAAAATTTAAACCTCTTCTTCCCTTTGCAATCCATGCGCGAGCTCCATTAGGAGAATTGGCTGCATGAAAGTAAACTAAATAGCAACTAGAGGAAAAAAATTAGAAAAACAATGTAATCTCTAAATTAAAGATAATGTACAAGAAGTGTCACCTTTGACTCTATTTATGGATGCACACAAACCAGAATAGCTATTTGTTAGGGTTCCGTTACTGTTCAACTCCCACATCTGTTCAGATCCAATGAATTATTTGTTAAAGTTCAAGCTCAATAATCATCGAGAAAACAGCTCCACGTCTATAAATGCAGGTTTGGTATGTGGTACTAGAAAGGCTCGTATTACTAGATAGACTCGACAGTGTAATACAAACCATAAGTGAAAAGTAAAGAATAATAAAAGAAAGGGCAGCAGGAATCCCATTAATGGAGTTTTCGATGGATATTTCAATAATTACTAGTGTCCTCAAACACAAATTTAGTTTTCCAATTTTAAGAAAGATTCAGAAGCACTTCTTACAGTTTAGGGTAGCCTAGTACATTCCTCCAGATAAGTAAACATACTCTTCCCGGTAAAATCAAGTGTAATAACTTTTGGAAAGTAACAAAGAACTCTTATCAAGAATTAAATTTTGCAACATCCAAGTTATGAATGAGAAATAGGTATGAAACCTCATACAAATATACCTGGTTGGCCTCCCGTCTGCAGGGTGAAAACGAACCCCTTTT